ATAAACTAGTAACTGTATCTATTCTCCAAAAGGTGCATCTCCAACAGCTACATTTTATAGCTGCATTATATAGGCCTGTGTGATAGTAGTAGCCTGATTAATAATATAGGTTTACAGATGTGTAACTGTCTATTGCTACTGCTGCTATTTTCTCAGAGCTTAGGACTAAAGCAGCGTTTCATCACAGGTATTCACCGACTGACACAGTCTAGACAGACTAGAGAAACACTTCAAACCATTTAAAACATCAATGCTGTCTGTCTGGTTGCAGCCTGGTCTGATCCCCTGTGGCAGGTACCCTGCTGTTAGGTGAGCATGTAACACCCGGCGCTCCCTACAACCCCCCTCCTTCCTCTCTTTATCTTTGCTCTCTCAATTCGTTCTTTCTATCCATCCAGGCTTTCAACAGCACCCCTCCCTCGTCAACCCCTCTCTCTCTCTCTTTTCTCTCTTTCTATTCTTTATTTTCTCTCTCTCTGCGGTCTCTAATCCAGGGTCGGTCCTAATGAGCTTCAAAGCACAACATCAATTAGGCATGATGGAGAGACCATCGAGATGAAAGATCCTCCTCTCACTGAGTGTAGAAAACGTTAAGGACACCTGCTCTTTCCATGACATATACTGACCAGGTGAATCCAGGTGAAAGCTGTGATATCTTATTTATGTCACTTGTTAAATCCACTTCAATCAATGTTGATGAATGGGAGGAGACAGGTTAAATAATTGTTTTTGAGCCTTGAGACAATTGAGACATGGATTGTGAATGTGTGCCATTCAGAGGGTGAATGGGCAAGACAAAAGATGTAAGCGCCTTTGAACAGGGTATGGTAGTAGGTGCTAGGTAAACCGGTTTGTGTCAAGAACTGCGACTCTGCTGGGATTTTTCACACTCAACAGTTTCCCATGTGTATCAAGAATGGTCCACCACCCAAAGGACATCCAGCCAACGTGACACAACTGTGGAAAGCATTGGAGTCAATATGGGCCATCATCACTGTGGAACACTTTCGACACCTTGTAGAGTCCCATCCCTTTAAATTGTGACACCACCGGGTGGTGATGGGATGATTCAGATATCATGTTACAGTAATCTCATCTAGGGCTTAGAAATCACAGTCTCTGATGAGCCATGATTGGGATTTATTTATAGGATTTTTATCGGTCTGCTGCTGATTGCCATTAAATCCCATTCCCTAGTACTGACTAGGTGAATAGCTGTACAAGCAACTCTGTTTCATTCTCTTGAGTAGGCTACGGGTCCTAAATGTCAAAAGGCTCTGGTCAAAAGTAGTGCACTGTGTAGGGAATAGGGTGCCATTTGGGATGCAGACCTGTTTGGAAAGGAAATTATGCATGAAATGATCACTGTTAGTCCAGCCTAAGGCTTTTCTGTGTGGCATGGCCATGACCTTTATTCTGTGCTAAATACTCCCCCTTTCAGGCCTCCCTCTCCTCTCCTCCCTGGAAATACGCTGACATCTTCTGGGGGCACACAACAATGGTTGAACTGGTACTATTTCAAATTCCTATTCAACTCAGACAGTGAGTTTGACTGTCATCTGGTGGCTAAAAAGTAGTATGCACATGAGTCAGACTGATTATTGACCAGTGATTGTCACTCAAATGATAAGGGGGAACATGATTTTTACAATCGGCTACATTGCAGGGGCCAGGGCCCTATAGCCCAGATGACTTGTTTATGCACACACACACAGACACACACAAACTTTGACAGTAATTTGTCTAGACTTTTATTTTGAAGATTCCGGGCGTCATGATCGAGGACTAATGCCGCGGGAGAGAAAGACAGTCAGGGGTGGAGCGTTTTGAGATAGAGTTACGCCGGGATGCCACCGGGCCGCAAGCAAAGTTGGGAGAAGAGGAATATTGGGACAGGGACACAGAAAGGTGGATTTCTGAGGAGGAACAGAGGGGGGGAAAAATAAGAAGAGGTCGAAGAACATTAGGAAAGCAGAGGTTGGATTTCAATTTGAGGAAGATGGGGGTGTCAAAGTGCAGAGGGAGCAGTGTGCCAGACCGAGATCTGGAGATGAAATGGAAGTGGATGCGGGCGAGTTAAATGAGGTGGAAGGTGCGGTGAAGAGCTCGGAGCTCAAGCATGGCATCGATGGACATGATAAAGAAGAATCTGGTCCAGAAGGAGTGACATTTTTGGAGAAAGTGGATCCTTGCCTTTTGCCGGATCCGTTTGTGGTTTCAGGGTGGGTGGGAAACGAGTTGGTTGCAGTTGAATCAGTGAAGGTAACCTGTAGTGGACTTGTGATATTTGTTTGTGTTCTCCGTGTCACGCACCTTGGGTCAAGATCTTTTTCTTGCTTTGCGCTTAGGAATAGGGCACCATTGAAAGGAGTGATTTCTGGGGTAGCGTCAGTGGCGGCTCCTGAAAAAATTCTCAGGAGGGGCAATTTTTCTGATGATTTAGGTGACCTACACACATTTTAAAAAAGATATGTCCAGCAACAACATGAAGACAGGGGCAGCATATAAGTCAATACCAGAAGCATTTATTGACTGATCTGGGGAGATGGATTCCAGTTTCTGTGACAGATTATAAATAATCTCTGATGCCTTTGTTATATTAGCTTTTGGTTGAATGTACTGTCGTAGTAAATATATAATGTTATAGCTTGGTCTGACTAAAATCTTGTGCATGACCCATTTTGTGTTGGGCGTTTGTTTTCAATCAATGCTGTTCCTATCCTATAACAATGGACAAAAGAGTCCTATCTTGTCAGCCTTGTCAGCAGGTGGCCAAGGACAACACCCACGCCATAGGTCTCTCAGTTCTTCCAACTCACGAGTTCTTGCTCTGAGGACACACACACACACACACACACACACACACACACACATCATCACTGATAACACACACACACACACACACACAAATCCCCTCTCTTTAGGCTGAACATTTGAAGACAGAGAACCCGACTCAGAGCCAATGCAACAGTGGAGGGGACCTCGCCCAACTCATCAGGACCAATCAGAAGATCAGAACTACTAGATTCAACCTACATCATTTATTGTATAAAATGTCTGCACACAATGTTTTCAGGGCTCTCTTCAGATAGCTCCCTAAGAGTTTGACGAACGGGTCCGTGCACGCGATTCCAGATATCTTTACCTCTGAATAAACTGCCTTTATTATACCATATCCACCCTGTCCAAAGTCTCTACTTGGTCTCAGTTCTCCAGTAAACTTGTGATTATCAACAGTACACAACGGTAACAAACAATTGGGGGAACTCACGGGGCAGATAGTAAGGTCGCAGTGACACAGAAAGCAGTTCAATGTCGGGGGGTACAGAGTCGCTCTCTTACCAGGATCGCGGTCCGCTCTGACCAGGGTGAAGCCGGCCGGCTCCACTTCTCTGTCCGGGACTCTGTCATCCAGCCAAGTCTCCCAGCTGTATTGGATTCCGCTGCCAGCAGCGTTTTCATTATTTAGTCCGTTCGTAGCGGGTATGTACACGATCAACAAGATCAGTCCAAAACCCACCACTGTAAAAATCCATGGTTGGCAGAATGTTTGTAAACTAAGTCTACAAATTAAAAACATAAAATAACGCCATACTGCAGGTCGCAACAGAGACGCTGCTAGCTGCTATTTTCTTAGTTACGTTCATGGTTACGTCACGTATGACGAAAGCGCGTAAGTGCAAGCCCACAGACACCCATAGAGAATGTATTGAAAGCTTTGAAATTTGAAAAAAATAGATTTTACATGACAGGCTATGAGAGACTTCTGGGCGATTTTCAACCTGACTGAAATCGCCCCAAAAACGGGCGGGGCCATTTGAAGCACGACTTTAGCCTGATTTGACATTTAGTGGCAGTCAGATCAGATTAGAACACTGATAACTAGTACTGTTGCCGTGATATAATTGATTAGAAAAAAATCCCTTCCTTTTCCCGTTTGGCAGTGCGTCGCCCATATCGCCCTATTGAACAGGCCGTCCCTGGGTAGCGTTAAGTGTGGAGGTGGAGCAATTGAAGTTGAAGATTCCTGGTGTTTGTGACACCTGCCGTTTGCTTCGACGCAGACACAGTGGTGAGCGTGGTGAAACAGAGGAGTCACTATCAGTCCTTCTGAGTTTTGAGTCAGAGTCTTTAACCGACAAGGTCATGTTAGGATCAGTTATCCTGTTAGAGCTTTTGTGGCGAATGCACTGCGTTGTTTCAGGCTCAACATTTATGGTCATGTCACAGCAGTGTGTAGGAGGGAGATTCCAAGATGTGGAAAGTGTGCAGGAGGACATGGGATAGAGGACTGTGTAGTTTTGTGGATAAAGTTGTGTGTGTCAACTGTAGGGGTGCAAATGTTCCTGGGGATCGGAAGTGTCCGGTGCGAGAGAGGTAGGTTGAGGTGGCCAGAGTCAGAGTAGTGCAGAAGGTGTCGTATGCTGAGGCAGTGGAGAAAGTAGAGGAAGGATCGCTGTGAATAGTAGATCTGTACCAGCACAGAGGGATAGGCCAATGAGTGATTTAAGTTCAGTAAGGTTGGCTTCTTAGCGTTCATAGCAATCACAGAAAATAGATGTTGTGGTGGCAGCTGCAGAAAAGTACTTGGGCGTACGAGATTTGACTTCAGAAGAGTTATTAGCATGTGTTGAGTGGTAGTGTCCAGTTGGCCTGGGGTAGGATCATATAGGGTTAAAGTAGTGGAATAAGATGATGGGTTTTAATGAGTATAGGGTTAGTTGGTAGGGAATCAAAATATATGTATATTTTTATTCATATATTTATATATTTTTTCCCTGTTTCCCTTCACCATTTTGTATCACAAAGTGTAATGGATCTATACTATAGTTCAGTTGGTGGTGGTAATGCAACATATTGGATGCCAACCGCCGTTAAACCTTACCGAAGAAGAAGAAGAAGACCGGAAGAGTGGTTTTTCACGTTGCTTCGCAGTTTCTTGCTCGCTTCAGCTAGTCTGCCCGCAGCAGCAGCAGCTAGGCTAGGCCACTGCGGGAAAGATGGCGACGACGGATAAACAGAAACATGAAGGAAGAGTGAAAATCGGACATTATATTCTTGGAGACACACTTGGAGTGGGGACGTTCGGGAAAGTTAAAGGTACGTGTTATGACTTTTCTTATCGAGTTGCCGCCGGCAGTTAAATGCGAGAGAGGATGGGGATGTTTCTCTCTTAGCTAGCCGTGTGCTAACACTTGTTGGCCTCTAACGTAATTTAGCTAGCTTGCTTTGCTAGGCTTGTTGGCTAACGCCGTTAGCTCAGTCAGGCTCTAGAATCAAACAGCTAAGTTAGCTTACTAGGCGGTCTACCTTTGATCGATCAAACGATAGTGCTGTCATGTGTTCAAGCTAGTTAGCTTGCTAGCCAGCTAGTTATGTGGTCGAATGACTCAGAGCTTTATGTAACCAAGTTTACATACTTGCTGGCTAACAGTAGTTGGCAAACTAGAATAATCTTAACTCAAATTGCTAGCCAAGGCAATACCACATTAATGGTTTCTCAACCAGGAAACCTGTTTCTTCAGTTAACAAACGTGAGCTGCCCAGTTATAAAGTGACCAGCTAGCCGTGATAGCCCCATGCCATACACACATACATACTGAACTATCTTGGGCCTGGCTGAATTATTAATGAGGACACACTTCCCAGTTGTGTTCACACATGAGTTATTGTCCCTGGATTGCTTTCAATCTACACTGTCAAAATACTATAACTTTTCTAATGGCATATCACCTAAAATTATGATATCCAAGCTTTTAGTAGAGGACCAAACTGACTTGTATAGCCTAGTTTTTAGGCCTTAATGTTAGGCCTGTTTCAAACTAGAAAATGTACATTTCCTTGGTTTGAACAAAACTCCATATCAAGCCACCAGCTAGACTATATAGCTGTTATCTTTCCTACTTCCTCCCAGTGGTCAGAATAGAACATGCTGGACATTGGGCCATTGTTCTAGATGACTGGCTGCAGGGTTAATACTTTACTAACATAACAGTTAAATCAATAGCCCCCCCCCCCCCCCTTCCCTCACTCGTTGTCATCCCCCCTCCCCTCCTTCCTCTCTTGTACTGTTAAGTACATTTTCACCTGTTGTTCTTCTGACCAGTTTTTAGTTAGGCCTATATCTGCTTAGTTTTTGCATTGAGCCACTGTAGCGTATGGTATACACAGTACATATATAAGCTGATGTAGGCCTATAAGCCATGTAGAATGATACGTTTCCTTCTGCTGTTAACCCCAATTAGTTTATTTGCAGAGTTGCATAAACTTTGGTTCCAAACAACACATTGCAGATGTAGGCCTGTCAATCATGATGCGTCCTGTCTGCACAGAACTGCCAGGACCTAGGATCAATGGAGACACTCAAGTTTAATCCTGTATCTCTTGACACATTCACAAAAATAGTCATGGCCTCTAAACCTTCCAGCTGCCTACAGGACCCTATTCCAACTCAACTACTGAAAGAGCTACCTCCTGTCCTCCGGATGGGTACCAAACTCACTAAAAGTGGCAGTAATAAAGTCTCTCCTGTAAAAGCAAAACCTTGACCCCTATATCGAATCTCCCATTCCTCACCAAGATTTGGGAAAAAGCTGTTGTGCAGCAACTCACTGCCTTCCTGAAGACAAATAATGTATACAAAATGCTCCAGTCTGGTTTTAGACCCCATCATAGGACTGAGACTGCACTTGTGAAGCCTCCTGTAGCTCAGTTGGTAGAGCATGGCGCCAGGATTGTGAGTTCGATTCCCACGGGGGGCCAGTATGAAAAATTTATGCACTCACTAACTGTAAGTCGCTCTGGATAAGAGCGTCTGCTAAATGACTAAAATGTAAATGTAATTATGAATTGATTTGATTCAATGGTGAAATGCCATGCTAGCTTTCTTTCACTGCAAATGGGCACTAACTACAGTCATCCAATGCAGATTTGCATGTGTCAGCTGGGGTCTGCTAAGCTCTTTGTTATAACTGGTTTCTTATTACAGTACTTCCTAACCTCTCCTCATCCCTGCTGCCCTCTCTTTTGCTCTCTCTCCTCTCCTGTAGTGGGGCAGCATGAGCTGACCAAACACCAGGTGGCTGTGAAAATCCTTAACAGACAGAAGATCCGCAGTCTGGATGTGGTGGGGAAGATCCGTAGAGAGATCCAAAACCTCAAGCTCTTCAGGCATCCCCACATAATTAAGCTGTAAGTCTAGAACCTCAGGTGCTTCCGGCATCCCCACATCATTAAGCTCTAAGGCTGTGTTCACACAGGCTACCTCTCAATCTTAGACTTTATATAGAAATGTGCCCCCTTTTTCTTGCTGTGGTAAAGCTGAAATATAGTTAAGTGGGTTTGTCATCACTCTGAGAAGTTTGGTGATCTTTGACTGTTTTCTCTGGTGTTTATGAGTACTGCCCAGAGGTTTTTCCTGGTCAGGTGGGTGGCATAGTCAGGGAAATCTCTTGGTCCAATCATGGCTAGTCAATTTTTTTTGGTGACTCTCCTATGGGGCCATAGGTACCAGGTGATCAGCACCCCAACAGACATCTTCATGGTGATGGAGTACGTGTCCGGAGGAGAGCTCTTCGACTACATCTGCAAAAACGGAAAGGTAAGACCACCCTCTGAGGAAAAAAACCTTTATTTCCTCTAGTGTATGCTGGTTTTGGGAAAATTATAGACCTGGTTTTTGTTCAACAACAAAACAGAAATTAGGTGGTATTCTAAGCCTGTCTGTTAAAAGACACTGTATGTGGTTTGGGATTGTGGGTAGTCTTGTGCTCACCTGAATCTTATTCACTTAGCTCAGGGGTTTTCAACCTTTTCTTGCCCAGGGACCCCCTCCCAGGCAAACCGGTGACCCAGGGAACCCCGTCATACGTTAGCAAAACATTTATTTTACATGTCTTATCATCAGGTTAATGATAATGGCAAGGAGAAGTAAGGAACATTTTTAAAATGAATAGATTTGGTAGATAATTCTTTCATTATTTTGACCTCCCCACATTATAATTGAAAGGGGAAGTGTAAACTCTAACATAGCCTATTAGCTAGAAAGGTAACTCCAAACACATTTTCGCTAAGAGCAGCTGTTTAGCTGGTTAAACAAAGGTTAGCCATGTGTTGTCAAAAATGTATGTCCAAGTCAAGAGTTTACCAGCAGCCAACGGCACTTGTCGCAATGGTAGCCTATTCGTGGGTGCTTTTGCAAAGCCTATGTCAGATAATCTAGTGAGTGTAATTTGCTGAATATTGGGAGTTGAGAAATAAAGTTGAAAACATTTAGAAAGAAGATATTCTGCTCTTTTCTAGTGTAGATAGGTATATTCAAAAATAAATTATTATATTGTTGCTAGCGATATTCATAAAAACATTTGAATTAAAACATGTTTTTATTTACTTTATTTTGAATACCCCTGACTTAGCTTATTACCTACACTACATGGCCAAAAGTATATGGACACCTGCTCATCGAACATCTAATTCCAAAATCATTGGCATTAATATGGAGTTGGTCCCCCCTTTGCTGTTATAACAGCCTCCACTCTTCTGGGAAGGCTTTCCACTAGATGTTGGAACATTGCTGCGGGGACTTGCTTCCATTCAGCCACAAGAGCATTAGTGAGTTAGTGGGGCATTGTCCAAACTGTTGCCACAAAGTTGGAAGCACAGAATCGTCTAGAATGTCATTGTATGTTGTAGCATTAAGATTTCCCTTCACTGGAACTAAAGGGCCTAGCCCGAACCATAAACAGCCCCAGACCATTATTCATCCTCCACCAAACTTTACAGAGTGCAATATGCATTCGGGCAGGTAGCGTTCTCCCGGCATCCGCCAAACCCAGATTTGTCCGTCGGACTGCCAGATGGTGAAGCGTGATTCATCACTCCAGAGAACGCGTTTCCACTGCTCCAGAGTCCAATGGCGTCGAGCTTTACACCACTCCAGCCGACACTTGGCATTGCGCATGGTGATTTTAGGCTTATGTGTGGCTGCTCGGCCATGGAAACCCATTCCATGAAGCTCCCGACTAACAGTTTTTGTGCTGACGTTGCTTCCAGGGGCAGTTTGGAACTCGGTAGCGAGTGTTGCAGCACTCGGCGGTCCCGTTCTGTGAGCACTAGCAGGGCAGAAATTTGACTTGTTGGAAAGGTGCCATCCTATGACAGTGCCACGTTGAAAGTCACTGATCTCTTCAGTACGGGCCATTCTACTGCCAATGTTTGTTTATGGAGATTGCATGGCTGTGTGCTCAATTTTATACACCTGTCAGCAATGGGTGTTGCTGTAATATACCCAAATCCACTAATTTGAAGGGGTGTCGACATACTTTTGGCAATGTAGTGTATCTGTTGTCAGGAGACTTGGGTAGTGTAATGGTTATGTCAATAATAGTCATGTTAGAGCCTGCCTCTGTACACAAAACAGAAATCACAAAGCTCTATCTCTGCACTGCATTCTTTCCAATAGGTTTTTAAGGACAACTAAATAATTCAAGCAAAGACATTGACCAAATATCCAGAGTGGTTACAATACTGAAATAGACACTGACTGGACAGTTAAAATGAAATTTCTCACCTCTCTTGCACGTGTTGCTGTGTCTGTGTTCCGTGTGTGTCTCGTGTGTGTTTGCCACTGTGCCTCCAGCTGGATGAGAAGGAGAGCCGTCGTCTGTTCCAGCAGATCATCTCAGCAGTAGACTACTGCCACAGACACATGGTGGTGCACAGAGACCTAAAACCTGAGAACGTCCTGCTGGACGCACAGATGAACGCCAAGATCGCTGACTTCGGTAAGTCTGTCACCCTTAACCTCACACCGAACCAGCAGCTTTCTACACCTATACATGATTTACACTTTCAAATCGAGCCTAACTGTACTAGGCTGGCATGGTTACGCATCCACTGTAGTTACTGGAACCCTAATGGAAAGGTTGCGTCTGAAATGAAACCCTATCATTCTATTGGACACAAACGCTTATGTGATATTGTCTGGTGTTTTCGGTAGGTTTGTCAAACATGATGTCGGACGGAGAGTTTCTGAGGACGAGCTGCGGTTCTCCGAACTATGCTGCTCCTGAAGTCATCTCTGGAAGGTACACTTGTCCTTTTCTTTTCTCACCAAAACCGTGGCATACGTGATGGGGAATATGCTAATGTCTGCTAAAACTGCTCTTAGATTTCAATAAAGAGGACTGTTCAATTTCACGGTTTTGCTTTGGTGTTCTTGATAAGTGTCACTAAACATTCACCATGTTAAACGACTCCCTTGGTTCATGTCAATGAGCATCTGTCTGTCTGTCCTCTCCCCTCCTCCCCAACCCCTACATGTGTCTTTCCTAGGTTATATGCAGGTAGTATTGTCCTTTGTGCATCTGCCTGCTCTTTGGAGTCTAGACTGGGTTACTCTAAACTACTTTCCGGCAACTGTTGTTGTAAAGGAATTCACAAATAAATGTGTTTGATTGACCCTTGTCCTCCCAGGTTGTATGCAGGTCCTGAGGTGGACATCTGGAGCAGCGGGGTAATCCTGTATGCCCTGCTGTGTGGGACACTACCCTTCGATGACGACCACGTGCCAACGCTCTTCAAGAAGATCTGTGACGGGATCTTCTTCACACCCCAATACTTGAACCCGTCTGTCACCGCCCTGCTCAAACACATGCTGCAGGTGGATCCCATGAAGAGAGCCACCATCAAAGAGATCCGGTAAGAAGGGGCAAGAGATCAACTTTGTCTGCAAAGTGCATTTAAACACGTGTGCTTTGCAGTAGAATAATAGACAAGAAAATACATACATCATTAAACTCCAACTGTAACTGTGTTAAGGTTTTACGCTATATTACCTATCACAGGGATGGCAAACTCCTGTCCTCTCTGTGCAGGCTTTTGATCCAGCCCAGCACTAACAAAGTGAACCCACCCCTCATGGTCTACATGTTTTCTAGCTGACCTGTTAAGAGAACAAATGTCCCTAATAATAAAGACTACCTTGATCTTGACCATGCTCTGTCTTTCCTCCCCACAGAGAGGATGAATGGTTCAAAGAGGAGCTCCCCAAGTACCTGTTCCCAGAGGACCCGTCTTACAGCAACAACATGATCGACGACGAGGCCCTGAAGGAGGTGTGTGAGAAGTTTGAGTGCACCGAGGAGGAGATCCTGACCTGTCTGTACAGCCGCAACCACCACGACCCCCTGGCTGTGGCCTACCACCTCATCATCGACAACCGCCGCATTATGTCCGAGGCCAAGGACTTCTACCTGGCCTCCAGTCCCCCAGACTCATTCCTGGACGACCAGCACCTGACCGCCTCTGCTGCGGCCGCCGCCGGCCTTAAGCCCCACCCCGAGCGCATGCAGCCCTTCCTGGCGGGGGAGACCCCTCCCCGGCCGAGACACACGCTGGACGAGCTGAACCCCCAGAAGTTGAAACACCAGGGGGTGAGGCGGGCCAAGTGGCACCTGGGGATCAGGAGCCAGAGCAGGCCAAATGATATTATGTCTGAGGTGTGCCGGGCCATGAAGCAGCTCGACTACGAGTGGAAGGTGAGGGAGGGGATAGAGGTATCGAAGAACGGAGGGGAGGGAGAATCGTGGGGATGAGGATGGAGGGAGGGAAAAAGGAGCAGAAGGAGAGGGAAAGGAGAGTCTGAAGGAGTGGGTAGAGGTCAGGTAGAAATAGACAGAAAACCATCAAAGGGCCCCTCAGATTAGTCAAGAAGTGGACCAGAGGTTTATTGGGATTGGGCTATATAGTGATTCCTCACGAAACCCAGACAGAAAAGACTATGATTTTGGGGAATTTCACAGGATTTTATCCATAGAATAGTCTTTTGGAGGAAGGATTGTTGACATATATTAGACTTTTGTATCTAAAAGCATAATTGAGAAATAATTAATCAAAGTTGGCATATTTGAGATTTTGACCTTACCCAGGCCTCCTTTAAGACTCCATAGTGTTTCATCTCTAGGTGCTACAAAGCAAAAATTTGTCTCATATGAAGCTTTACTGCTTGCTCTATATGAGTAGTATTTTGATTTCAATAACCTTTTTTACATTAATTTATGAATATTGAAAAATAAACATGAATATTGAAGAAGAAAAAAAAATATATATATACATATACAGTGGGGAGAACAAGTATTTGATACACTGCCGATTTTGCAGGTTTTCCTACTTACAAAGCATGTAGAGGTCTGTCATTTTTATCATAGGTACACTTCAACTGTGAGAGACGGAAAATCACATTGTATGACTTAAGTAATTAATTTGCATTTTATTGCATGACATAAGTATTTGATACATCAGAAAAGCAGAACTTAATATTTGGTACAGAAACCTTTGTTTGCAATTACAGAGATCATACGTTTCCTGTAGGTCTTGACCAGGTTTGCACACACTGCAGCAGGGATTTTGGCCCACTCCTCCATACAGACCTTCTCCAGATCCTTCAGGTTTCGGGGCTGTCGCTGACTCACTTTTTATTTATTTATTTTATCTTGGGGAGACATGAGAGAGGAATCTCTGAAGGAAATGTTCAGTTTCCTGTTTATCCTTCTCTTGCCCTGATAGATAGAAAGCAGCTATTTATGGTTTAATGTGTTTGGGTACACAGTAGTAGAACCTGCTGAGATATGGCAAGGCAATTCAGATACTCTCCCACAACATAAACCACTGTTCTGCCTAGACTCTAGAACTGCTGAAATGGTCAAAGTGCTCTCTGTAATACACAAGTTATACACAAAAGTTCTAATTTTGATGACAAAACAAACGGAACATGTTCAAAACGTTGTAAATCACTTAAATACAGACCACCACTGAAGCGGCTACAGAAGCCATATTGAAAATGTTTATATTTTATACTGTATATTCCATCTATTGCGTATTATACCCAGCTCGTGAGATATAGTATGTGTAACTAATCTCCATATCCTCCTCCCCAGGTGGTGAACCCGTACTACCTGCGCGTGAAGAGGAAGAACCCAGTGACAGGCATGCAGACCAAGATGAGCCTTCAGCTCTACCAGGTGGACAGCAGGACCTACCTCCTGGACTTCCGTAGCATAGACAGTACGTCAACCCGGACGTAGCCCTTTACACTCACAACCCATATATACGGGTTGAAAATGGCAGATTTGGTCACTGATAAGCACCTACATTGGAACGCAGTGGCTGTACAGTAACATGCTATACATGACATTTGAGCTCAGGGTCTCCGCTTTACAGCGCCGTGTAGGATTCAACTGACATGTCTATAAGTGGTTTTCTACCCTGCCGATTATGCCATTAATGGAAAATGCCTAAAAATAAGTGGCTTTCCCTGCTAAGTGCAATGTAAAGTGACTAGTCAGACTTCAAAAATTGTCAATGTTTTTCTGATCAACAGCTTACAGACATGGCACAAGTCTGTCTTTAGGACCTTTGTGTGTTTGGTTGTAACCACAGAAGTATGTTTGTGTAACATGATCTCTTTCTCTTCTCCGTCTCTCTCTCTCTTTGTCTGTAGATGACATGTTGGAGGCTAAATCTGGGACTGCCACTCCTCACCGGTCTGGTTCAGTGGGGAACCACCGCACGTCCCTTAAGAACGACGCTACTGCAGAGGGGGGGTCCCAAACCGAGGGGGCTAAGGAGAACGCTACCCCTGCCACCTCCATCCCTCCCACTAAGGCCTCAGAGAGCTCCCTGGCCTCCTCGCTCACCTCCTCCGTTGACTCGACAGGAGGCGACCTCGCACCTACGACGGCGGTTCCGCGGCCCGGCAGCCACACCATAGAGTTCTTTGAGATGTGCGCCAATCTCATCAAACTACTTGCACGATAGCTCGCAATCAAATAAACAAAACGTTAGCCTTTTTTTCTTCTCTGGGTGTCTTTATAAGCAATAAGCATGCAACCGATTCATGGCTCGATTCATCCCCACCGTGGGCGGGTGAGATGGCTAGGGTTGTTCCAAGGCACTGATGATACAGGTTCAGCTCGCAACCCTCCTGACTGACCTGGGGATGGGGGTTGTCAGAGCACAGGGGTGGGGTTTAGGAAAAGGTGAACGACAATGACCAAGCAACTTTATTATAATCATGATGACAGAATACTATTTTAGAGACTATTTTACATTTTCACGATCATTATTGGCCGACAACGATTTCTTCCCCCTCTTTGATCACGTTCCAAACATAGCATATGTATGTGTGTGTGCGCTAAGTCTGAGTGATACACAGCATTTGCTGTACTGTACTCAGTGGGCTTTGCTGTGCTTTTTTTTCAGTAGAGAAAACGAAAGCAAGTTTCTGCGTGCAGAAAGAACTGTAAGGTTTTGGGGGGGGGGGGGTGGCACTTTTGCACAGTATTCTGCTGTTCTGTCTGTTTCTCTACAGTAGATGTCTGAGAACCTGTGCATATTCCGAACCTTTCGAGGACAATGCACTACAGGCCTTTCAGGGGTAGCAGCACTGACCATAACAAGGGTTGTCATGCCAACGATGCCCGTTTGACTCACTGAGGAAGTGCAATGATCCTGTATCTTTCTCTCGATCGCGTCAGGCGGAAAAGGGAGTTAGTACTTCATCTGAATTTTTCTTTAGTTTTTTTGTGAAATTGAGTTTTAAAAGATTTAATGTTTTATGTCATTGTAAAAATATACATGTTTGTTTGGATTAGTCTGTCCCCTACATATAAAGAATAATTGTAAAAAAAAATGCATTTGGATACATTTATCAGTGCTTTAAATGTGAATTGTAGATTTATATTGAGAAATATTATGGAGTGAAAGATTCGTTTTTTGCATTACGATGACTTTTATTCCTTTATTGCTTTAAAAAAAAAGATCAATATCATAGTTAATTTTTTTGCAGTTATTCTATACACATGATTGTTTCCCTCACTCAGTCTCCAATAGTTTTTTGCCATGCTAGTCAAAATGAGACGGTCCTATACTGAATTAAAATGTATCTTGGAGCTTAGGGGCAACATGCGTTCATAAATCTGAATGTATGTTGACTGAGTGACATGCATTTTAGCAGGATTTGACCAATCATTTTGTACAAATGCATGTCCATCAGTTACACGTTGAAAGATTGGGCCCATTTGAAAGTGGTGATTTGCAGCAAGGACATGCAGTGCATGGACAATGGTTATTGATAAAGGAAACAGAAATCAATAATATTTTTCTGGTATCAGAATTCTATTTCACTTTTCTTGGCCCACATTCCCCACAAGCTAAATTTGTATTTTAGTTTACATAATATTTGCCCAAACCTAAAATTTGTCATGTGCACCTGGAGAAAGTTCTGTCATTCTGTTAGCTGCCTTATCAGTACTGTTGTTCAGTTTTATATCAGTGAATATAAAATAGATATCTACTTCTATCCTCAATATTGCGTGGGACTGGTTTTGGTCTGAAGAAATCTTGCGAATGGATTACGTGACTGCAAGGTCTCGTTTTAGACCAAATGGTCATTGAAATATTTGTAGGACTACAAACAAACTTTTTTAGTTTTCAAGGACGTGAAAGTTCTGATTCCAAATAGTGCATAAGGTGAATTGTGGGGTTGTTTGAAAAAGTGTGTGAGACCATGATCTTCTAATGGCTTATGATGTGAGTTGCACATTTGGTGAGTAGTTTCTCTTTTTAAGTGGGAGTGTTAAGTTCCGACTATTTGCAGGAGAAATATCTATCATTGTATCTGTCTTAACTGCTTTAAAGAAACCTTGTTTTATTTGTATTTCTGTGAAGGGACCCTACTACTAGAATGACCAATGTCAATTTCAAATGGACAGTGTTTAAATCAATTGTATAAACAACTGCCTAATAAACAGATCAATTGCACAAGTTTTCATGTCTTCCCTTGTTTCTGTTGGAGGCATCGGAAAATGTATAAAAAAAAAAAAAAAGAAGTTAGCAATACTATGATTACAACGGCTGCAAAACTCAAATATTATAAATGTCCCAGATTTAAAGAGTATGGCAAAAGACCTGAATAATTTATGGAAAAAATATGTATGGCAAAGCAGAGCTGTCATCTTAAAACATTCTGACTCATTTCCTCTAGATGGAGTAGCAAGCACAGTTAAGAGGGTTCCCCTCACTTATAGAGCGCCACAGTGGAGGTGTCATAATAACCATGAAACCTAGCGGTCAAACAGGGAAATGGTTCCAATCGTTTATCCACCATTCATTTTTCCCATAGGGAATTTTAGAGACACTTAAAATAAGGGCTGTGTTTCGTTTAGGCTTACCCTGGCGTGATGTTTTGATAATCATGTAACTCTCTCTCGGACAAGGTGACTTTTATCAATATGTTTGGCTCTATTTACACTCCGATTCGAAAAATGCTAAATAGCATCAAAGTAGACATGCAAAACTACAAATCCCTGCATGCTCCTGCACATCATCTCTAGCTGACACCTTTGCTAACAGGTATTGTGTCGATTTAAAACTTGCACAAGATAGTTACAGAATTGTCCATTTAAAGAAATTTTGTCAATTTATTAATTAGATAGTTAATCCCGAGATTCTTACCTTTGTCACGATTCGGCAGTCTCGTCCAGATCATCATGGTATTTGTAGTTCTTTATGTTTGCCACATTAGCAGCTAATTAGCGTTTCATTTTTGGGGGGTAAATACAGGCGAATATTGATAAAAGTCACCTTGTCCTAGAGAGATTTATATGGTTATTAAAATGTCACGCCAGAGTAAGCCTACATGAACCACAGCCCTTATTTTAAGTGTTTCTACAATCCCCTATGGGAAAAATGAATGGTGGAAAAATGATTGGAACCATTTCCCTGTTTGACCACTAGGTTTTATGGGTATTATGACTCATACTGTGGTACTCTATAATGCGTTTATCAGCTGTTGGATGTGAGGGGATGCCCATATTAGGAATTCCTGTGGGCATTCCTATTCTATTCCACAAAACAGCATGATCATTATTATATTTCATGAGTTGTCTATATGGCTAAGTATTTCCATCTCATATGAATGTAGATTATCAAATGGTGAGATGGGCTAGTCCATCTCACCATTCCATTGAGACTTGACTGACTGATGGTATTAAATGTTGCGTTACATCATATTGATGCTCTGTCACAGTGAGTTAACAACTGCTAGCACTGCAGCCTTTAATGTTCATAATATACAGTCACCTCCAAAATGATTGGCACCTTTGATAAAGATGAGCAAAAAAGACTGTATAAAATAATTAATACAAATACTGAGCTATATTTTATGCTCAAGAAATAAGGGAAATTGTACACTGCTCAAAAAAATAAAGGGAACACTTAAACAACACAATGAAACTCCAAGTCAATCACACTTCTGTGAAATCAAACTGTCCACTTAGGAAGCAACACTGATTGACAATACATTTCACATGCTGTTGTGCAAATGGAATAGACAACAGGTGGAAATTATAGGCAATTAGCAAGACACCCCCAATAAAGGACTGGTTTTGCAGGTGGTGACCACAGATCACTTCTCAGTTCCTATGCTTCCTGGCTGATGTTTTGGTCATTTTTGAATGGTGCCGGTGCTTTCACTCTAGTGGTAGCATGAGACGGAGTCTACAACCCACACAAGTGGCTCAGGTAGTGCAGCTCATCCAGGATGGCACATCAATGCGAGCTGTGGCAAGAAGGTTTACTGTGTATGTCAGCGTAGTGTCCAGAGCATGGAGGTGCTACCAGGAGAAAGGCCAGTACATCAGGAGACGTGGAGGAGGCCGTAGGAGGGCAACAACCCAGCAGCAGGACTGCTACCTCCACCTTTGTGCAAGTAGGAGCAGGAGGAGCAGGAGGAGCACTGCCAGAGCCCTGCAAAATGACCTCCAGCAGGCCACAAATGTGCATGTGTCTGCTCAAACGGTCAGAAACAGACTCCATGAGGGTGGTATGAGGGCCCAACGTCCACAGGTGGGGGTTGTGCTTACAGCCCAACACCGTGCAGGATGTTTGGCATTTGCCAGAGAACATCAAGATTGGCAAATTCGCCACTGGCAGCCTGTGCTCTTCACAGATGAAAGCAGGTTCACACTGAGCACGTGACAGACGTGACAGAGTTTGGAGACGCCGTGGAGAACGTTCTGCTGCCTGCAACATCCTCCAGCATGACCGGTTTGGCGGTGGGTCAGTCATGGTGTGGGGTGGCATTTCTTTGGGGGGCCGCACAACCCTCCATGTGCTCGCCAGAGGTAGCCTGACTGCCATTAGGTACCAAGATGAGATCCTCAGACCCCTTGTGAGACCATATGCTGGTGCGGTTGGCCCTGGGTTCCTCCTAATGCAAGACAATGCTAGACCTCATGTGGCTGGAGTGTGTCAGCAGTTCCTGCAAGAGGAAGGCATTGATGCTATGGACTGGCCCGCCCGTTCCCCAGACCTGAATCCAATTGAGCACATCTGGGACATCATGTCTCGCTCCATCCACCAACGCCACGTTGCACCACAGACTGTCCAGGAGTTGGCGGATGCTTTAGTCCAGGTCTGGGAGGAGATCCCTCAGGAGACCATCCGCCACCTCATCAGGAGCATGCCCAGGCGTTGTAGGGAGGTCATACAGGCACATGGAGGCCACACACACTACTGAGCCTCATTTTGACTTGTTTTAAGGACATTACATCAAAGTTGGATCAGCCTGTAGTGTGGTTTTCCACTTTTAATTTTGAGGGTGACTCCAAATCCAGACCTCCATGGGTTGATAAATTTGATTTCCATTGATAATTTTTGTGTGATTTTGTTGTCAGCACATTCAACTATGTAAAGAAAAAAGTATTTAATAATATTATTTCATTCATTCAGATCTAGGATGTGTTATTTTAGTGTTC